GCTCATCGAAGGAATTCATTTGTTTAGTCAATTACCAAAATTTGGATGATTTTGAATATTCACTTGAAAAGTTATCAAAGAAAAACATTTTTCATTTTGTAACTTCGAGGGCCCGCTACTTGGTAACGAAGGATTTTAGGAAAAAAAGTTATATAAAGTACTGGTGATATTTTGACCCCATCTATACATTCCCGAGAGGAAAAGAGGAAGTCCAGGGACACCCTGTATAACATATCAGTTGCTCGAGTTAAACAATGAAGGAAGGAGACCAGTGGTTCAATCAAATAGTTGATATTCCGTCACGAACAAATCTCTAATTTAAAGCCGATCGACTGCTATCGCGGACCCCGTGCACAATGCATTGCGATTCGTATCTTCCCATATTTATTTTCCGTATCTGTATATGGATGCGTATGTATCCTTAAAGGTTTATCTAGTTCCTCGTAATCAAATATTAAATATTAGATTTGAACTGAAACGAGAATAGTTTTAGAAGAGATTCGTTTTTAAAGAGGGGAAAATACAAAGACAAAAAGCTTTTTTCTCAAACAAACGATAGATTGTATAAAATTGACCTGGTGTACAATATTGCATATACAATTCATACACTTAATTTGTAAGAGTTCTGAGGAGTGGATTTCAGCCGAAAAACTTTATGATGGAATTTTTGTTGAATCGAGAAAGTAATATTGCACAAAAACGTCAATACGAACTGTCACTTTGGCATTCATTTGTTTTTTCTAGACAGAAATGCAGTGCCACCTTTGCTGAAATAGTGCTCGCGAATATCGAATCGTTACACCAGAATATTTTCTCTTGGATACTTACATCGGTTTATAACCCATTATCAACAGTAACGCATCTAAGAGTAAGCTCGGTATCAACTGGTACACGATGAATATTGTATAGAATGCATACCAACATGAATAAATGGAACCATCTGGATACCATACAACATCATTCACAGGAATATCCCATGTTAGCTGTTTTCCAATATCTATGATTTCGCCGAATGTTACTTGTTTAACGTCGTAATTGCTTGCGTTATAAACTGATACTTTGTTTTTCTCAGATTCATTTCTGAAATGGAAGCAAAATTAGTTTTGGTCACCTTCAAAATCAAATGTTGGGTTGAAAGGGGAATATTTTTACTATAACTTTCTGCAACCTGGCCAAAACATCACAGCAGGGTCCTATTGAGAGACAATCGACGGAATGTAGCGAAAATTGCATCAGCAGCAGCCGGTAGAGGTCAACAGAAGAGGTCCGATCCTGCTCCACAACAACGCTCGTCCGTACGTTTAACAAATTATCGTCCAAAAATTGAACAAAATGAGCATCGAAGGTTTTCCCAGCGCACCATACTGCCCAGACCTCTCGCCAACCGACTACCATTTTTTCAAGTACTTCGATAAATTTGTCACCGGTAGAACCTTCGCCAATCAGGATTAAGCAAAAACGTTATTCGTCGACTTCATCGGATCCCCATCACACGATTATTTTGCTGACTGTTCTGTTTAATAATTAACGTGAATTATTGAACTCAACAATNAAATACATTTCTGGCTAAATGTCTTTTTGGTAGTACAAAACGTCAGGTTAATTTCAATATTGTAACTTTTTTAGTGCTTGTGAAAAAAATTGTTATACAATTTCTACACAAGGGATGCTCCAATGAAATTCCTTTATATGAAAGATCCTACCTTTTTTTTTCGATGAGGAATCACCTCCTTGAATGTTTTACACTTATTTAGTTACACCCTGTATAACACTGACAAAACTAATCGACTTGTGCTACGTTGCAAGAGGTCACTGATTGAAATGGCGCTTATTTCGTATGAGTTGAATACGCATTCACCGACTTTAAATTAGACTTATTAAAAAATCTAATAAAATAGCAAGAAGTTTCTTTATATTTCCTGTAAAACCTTTGGAATCTAAGATTCTGAAAATTCAACATAAAACTTTTTATTGCAAAAACCGTCCAATTATTCAATTCGCAATTTCATCCACGGAAGTTCGGCTCTCTTGTTAACGTTCACATGTTTGATCAATAGTTTGTAAACAACTGTTCTTGAATCTGAAATGGTGAGTAGAAATTTTCTTATATTTCAAATACCAATTTGAATTATAATTTCTCATTTGAAATGCTTGTAACAAAATGTTATAAAGGTCTTTAAATAATCTTAGACTTACTGCAGCTTGTTTATAGTTTTTAAAGTAGTTCAAAACGCAATTTAGAATAATAGGGCAGTGTGCATAGTATAATAGATATGAGGTTATATGTGAAACCAATTTCAGTTCGTTGTTAGTACTTCAAATATCATTTTGCTAAGAATATGATCAAGCTTCACATTTGATATAAAAATATAGGCTCTCACGGCCAGAATCAGGATAAGCGAGAAAAAAGTCAGGAAAGTGTAGATCATGCATCAACAGACACAAACTGTAAGAAAAAGCTCTCTCGAAACATCTACTTCCAAATAAACATTGGATTAGACAAAAAAAAATTTAGAAACAAATATTTCTATATGAACATTGAAACATACGAAAAACTATTTTTTCTATTCAGTTTGTACTCCAAACATTCGTTATGGAATTGAATCAGATATCACTCATAGGATTGCTACACAATATAGTAAGAGAAAGATGTAAAATTTCACTTACATGGAACACTGTCATCTTCAATGGCGGACATCGATGTTTCGGAATAAGAGACTTGCCTTATTGCCTCTCCAGCACCAATCTGGTTAACATTACAAGATGAAACACACGAGTCATTCATAACATTACGACTATATGTCATGAATGAGTTAAATCTACTCATGTCATCGATAACAGTACGTAATGACATTTATTCGCCTATTTGATTCCCACATTTTTGTATAATCTCTCCTAAAAATATACCTCTTTTATCGAAACATACGAAAAACTATTTTTTCTATTCAGTTTGTACTCCAAACATTCGTTATGGAATTGAATCAGATATCACTCATAGGATTACTACACAATATAGTAAGAGAAAGATGTAAAATTTCACTTACATGGAACACTGTCACCTTCAATGGCGGACATCGATGTTTCGGAATAAGAGACTTGCCTTATTGCCTCTCCAGCACCAATCTGGTTAACATTACGAGATGAAACACACGAGTCATTCATAACATTACGACTATAGTCATGAATGATTTAAATCTGCTAATGTCATCGATAACAGTACGTAATGACATTCATTCGCATATTTGATTCCCACATTTTTGTATAATCTCTCCTAAAAATATACCTCTTTTAATTTAAAGAAGGTTCCTATGGCTGGGATTATATCAAATAAGCTAATGGATGTCATTACCTATTGTCATCGATGACATGAGTAGATTTAACTCATTCGTGACAAAGTCGTAATTTTATGAATGAGTTGAGTGCATTATGTCGTAATATTTTCCAGATTGGTGCTTGTTTAGAATATGTTTTTTCGTTAACCAGCTATCGCATCCCTACGAACGACCACACTCAGAAGTAGAAACTTGTGCGAGCTAAGGACTAACGAGGTCTTACCTTTTAACGTGTGATTCCTAACACGGGTTAGACGATGATAGCAAGTGAAACTCGAGCGTTCGGCCTGGTGCTTGAACCATCCACTCACACATCGGCCGATTGACTGAGTGAACAAATCACCCACGTCGAACCGCCCGGATACCGACCGACCCTAATTGCTGAGGGACAATAAGGCAAGTGTCCTATTTCGAAACATCGGATGTCTGCTAATAAGGATGTGTTCCGCTTTCCTCCAACACCATCGACCATCTTGTTGAACTCGACCAAAATTCGTACGTCGACGAAACGCAAGATATGACAAAAAAATCTCCACTGTCTGTGAGAGTGTGCAGGAAAATCCGAGACAGTCGATTTCGCTCCGCTCGCAAGAACTCGGACTTTCGCAGATCACAACTTGCCGAATTTTGCGTCGGAGCTTGGTCCTGCACCCGTACAAAATTCAACTGTAAACGATCATAGACAACGTGTGTTCGCTCAATGGGCTCTGGAGCAGTTGGCAACTGACCCTAATTTCCATCGGAAAATCATCGTCAACGATGAGGCTCATTTCTGAATGATTGGGTACGTGAACAACCATATTGTCGAATTTTGTACTATACCAACCCACATGAGATCCAAGAGCATCCAATGCATGATTTATGCGCCAGATTCATGGAAAACTGGACGTTTCGGATGCGCTTCACCCAGAGGAGCATTAGGTTAGGTTAGGCCCAAAGTGAGTGGGTCCATTCGACCCTATTCGCATAGGTTCCTAGGCAGGTTGATATCTCTGTCCTGGGTGTGCGAATGAAAACCGGCGACTTTGAACCGATAGAAACTGTAGAAAATCTTCGTGATCGTATTAACGGCGCCGCTGAAACGTGCAATCGATTACACAAGGCACGGTTTGTGACAGATATCGTACCTGTATCCGGGCAGGTGGTGCTCAGTTCGAGCATTTATTGTGAAAGCCTTTAATAAAGGCTTGGAGGTCTGATAGAAAGTTAACTATTACACTATTTTGGAATCTCCATTAAATGCGCCAACTTTCTGAAATACTTTTCAGCCAAGTACGGTAAATTTTCAATCACCATATCACTAATGTGTTTGCAATACATACTTCTCAAGTCCTTTACTCCAGGTTGCCATAATTACTGCTTTCACTACGCTGTCGCAAGGTACATAGTCGGCAATATTCTCTTTGTTTGCGTAACAAGCTCTCATAACGCCTTTGCCAGAAGCCACTAAAATGCCAACAGGGCCATTGAAATTATCAATCCAACCAGAGAAAGGATCGGTCATAGTAGAAATTACTGAAAAAATGAAATAAAATAGTAGTTATTTTCTTTTACTATGTTAGATTTATGATCTACAGTTTTAGTGTTTCAAAGAAAACTTTTATTTACGGAAAATCCTAACTGAAAGTAGTATAAAAATATTCGTCACGACGAGTTTCACCACCAAACGGCTTCATCAGATAATGGATACAATACCTTCCGATTTTAGAAAAAGTTTTGGTTTCACTTTTTTGACGTGTAAATTACGAATCGAAAAAGAATTGGTGCTCTTCCTCATTTCGAGAATCACAGCCTTACAAAGTTCCGAAAATCGCAACGTTGCAGCCTTTTTTTTACACAATACAAACTAGAAAAACACAAGTATTTATTCTACACATCACCTTAACATCTTATTTCACCTTCTTCATCACTTTTCAGTAATTTTTTCTACAAAAAACTTGATTCAACAATAAATTCGTTTTCTGGTGACATCCTACTTTGAGGTTATATTTTCGGAAAAAGGCGGTTGCTAACTATCACCGGCTACTAATAATTATAAGGAAGGAAGGATTTGTGGTAAAACTTAGGGTTTAGGTCCCAAACAAATCCATTGGATTATATATGATGATTGTCAGACCAATGATCACTTATGGTGCAATTGCCTGGTGGCCGAAGGCTTTACAGAAAACGGCCCAGGTGAAGCTCACTGACTTAGAGACAGGCTTATCTGGCCATCAGTGGTGCCATCAGGACCACGGCCATTGAGATCCTTCTAGATCTACCTCCTCTCCACATTTTTCTGAAGAGAGAGGCCAGATGAACTGCATATAGACTTGTGCACATTGCCAATTGCAAAAATAATTTAATGCAGAGTGGTTGGTTCACAGATGGATCAAAAACATCTTCCGGTTCTGGTGCAGGTGTTTTCAGTCGCAGACCCGGGACAGAGATATCAACCTGTCTAGGAACCTATGCGACTGTATTTCAAGCGGAAATTTACGCTATTGAATTGTGTGCGGGGAGATTGGAAGAATCCAACCTCATACACAAGTCAATAAAAATATTCTCGGATAGTCAAGCGGCGATGGAAGCTCATGTCTCCTACCGAGCAACGTCTAAATTGGTAGCAAGTTGCCAAAAACGACTCTCCTCGATAGGAAGTTTCAACAGATTGTCTCTGGTCTGGATTCCTGGCCATACTGACCTGGAAGGCAATGAGGCTGCTGACTCCATTGCAAAGGAGGGTGCTGCCGGAGCAGAACCTGTCATTGGCATCGCTTTAGGCTTTGCTAAACAAAGTTTGAACATCTGGATCACAAAAATATTTATGGACTTCTGGCAGAATCTTCCAGGATTACCAAACAGTTGTTGGAGTACAGTGCGGATAAACTACGATGTCTAACAGGCTTTCTTACAGGTCACTGCAGAGACTCGGACTGTCGGAAGATAGTGTGTGTCACCTCTGTTTGAAAAATGATGAAACAACAGAACATATACTTTGTACCTGACCCGCTGGGGACCGAATCAGATTTTTAGAGTTCGGCAGAGATCACCATCTAACCTGAAAGATCACTCACCATATAAACTAATCGGCTTCGTTAAGAAGCTGGGTCTATTTGGTCGAGTGTGAATAGATGTGAGCCACAATAAACCCTTGCGGTTTGCGATAGAGGTTCGAATAGACCCACTAACTATGGACCTAACCTTACCTAATAATAATAATAATAATTGATTTTAATGACAAAATGTAGTACAAGATGTAGTAGGTATGAATAATACAGACAATTCTTGAATAATATCTCCCACAAATCAAAATTCGTATGATTTGAATGTCTATTTTGACGTGAGCGATTTATGAATATGTCAATTACGTATTTGAAAGAAGTTTCAAATTTATTCAAAGTGAGAGAGAATTTAATTATCTATACAGTTCAAGTTGAAGTGTTTGCAGTAACAATACTTAGCCTAACTTAGGGCTTATTATACAAGGTGTCCCATATAAAACTCCGCGGGCAAATATCTGAAAACTGAGAGAGAATATCCATATTTCGAGAAGGCAGATGATTTTGGTGTCAAAGGGTCCTCTTATTTGCGAAGAGAACCAGCAATAGGCTTCATCCATTAGGGCGTCGCGACACCGACGCCAATTTTTTTAATGGTAACCTAGATTTTCCGATTCGTTTTTGGATTCTGCATTGAACTCTGAATTCAGCCTTATAGCAGACTTGTAGTTTTCCTTGAATACTGATGAAAAAAGGCAATTTTATTGCATATTATAAATAGGGCCAAGTAAAAATGAATGCAATAATACGAGTTTAATAAAATGAATCCATCAGTTATGATTTCATTGTCTGTTCAATTTTATCTAGTTGCGTATTTCTGTACAAATTAAAATAAACGTTTNCACAAAAGAGCATTTTACACTCATATTCAAAATATATTCATAGGAAATGTGTGTCTAAGATTACTTTAAAAAATGTCCAATCTAAACGAAGTTCGTTCCAAAATTGCTGAATATTTACCATAAAAACCGTCGCTTGAGCATCGATCAGAAATTGTTGAATTACGTCAACGGCGACCCAGATTTGCTTAAAAGGTTCATAACTGGTGACGAATCATGGGTATATGGTTATGGCATCGAAACCAAAGTTCAATCGTCCCAATGGAAGAGCCCAGGAGAGCCAAGACCAAAAGAACGGCAAGTTTGATCAAATGTCACTGTTTTCTTCGATTGCCGTGGCGTAGTGCATCAGGAGTTCTTACCAAATGGTCGTACGGTCAATAAGGAGTATTATACTGAAGTTAAAACGCCGCTACGATAATGTACCTGTCACTGTTCATTGCCGTTTGTAATTTTTAGGACAAAAACCATACCGTAATTATGCATCGGCCTCCGTTTTCACCAGATTTGGTCCCCTGCGACTTTTCTCTGTTCTGAAGTTCGAAGAGACCCATGAAAGAATGGCGTTTTGCGACGATTGAGGAGATAAAAATCGAATCACTGTTATTGTGCAATATAAAGGTTGAAAAGTTGCAATTTTCGAAACTTTGGAGGGCGGTTGCGCAATTGGCCTCTTGTCAAGGTAGTGTCCATCATCAACATGAAGTCGATGATTTCCCATAATTAAAAATCGAATTTCTCTCAGAGTATCATTCCTCGAACAAGGCTGAACCGAACGACAAACAACATATTTGTCATCGCTCCATCTGCCCGTGAACGAGGTACTAACCAATCGCATATCCAAATGGCCCAATTCCTCGTACAAGGAAAAAATCATCACATACAGTAAGGGGGCATACTTGAAGACTATAAATTAAATTATCTAACAGAACAATTCGTTCAGGCCAGTTTCAACTCACCTATATTGTAGGCTAATGGACTGACGCCTATCTATCACAAAACAACTGCTCCCCTGGCTAATACCACGAAGGGCGTTGAATTATATCCGACAGGTGTAAATGCAGGATTCTTCAAAGAAGAAAATCCTATTTAAAAACAACTACTCCCTTGGCTAATAACACGTTTGATTTACAGCCAGTCTTCAAGTATGCTCCCTTACTATATGGGAAAACTTAATACAGTAAGTTCAGTTCATAATAATGCGAACTATGTGAATTGCCCATCGAAAAGAGTGAAGCAGTTTTGGTGTGTGAGAAACTTTTTTGCATCGGATTTACAATTTATCTGTTACACATCATCTTCTTACACTTCACTCAATGTTCTGTTGAGTTGATAATAACCCCGAAAGTAATCAGTAATCAGAAAACCGTTAATTCAGAATGTAATATCCATTAATTTTCACTTACCGATGGAAGGCCTGAAAATCACGGAAGGTACTTGCCCGTCGCAAAGGTCCGCTATCACATGTTCTCCTAGAGACTTCGTGAACGTATAGGTGTTGGGGAGGGGATGTATATACTTCACAGATAGAACATCAAGGGCATGGGCATCCAGAGTTTCTGCCAGTTCAATGGTTTTCTCCCAATCTGCGTGCGGAGGATAAATCTGTTCTTCGATAATCTGTTTGTCAGTGTTGCAGTAAGTCGTCGAGAAATGCATGAGAACATCTAAATGCTTCATTTCTTTAGCTAATCTTGCCACCTCCCGGGTACCTCTCGTATTCATGAGAACGGCATCTTTCAGTGGATCATCAAATCGAACAGATGCAGCTATGTGGTACACAATGTGGACTTCATCGATCAAAGTTTTCTTGTCTTGGGGACTCAAACCTACAAAAAAATCGATATGGTATTTTTCCTCTACTGCTATGGAAACACAAATAAAGAAACGGGAAATGACTAATTTGATACACCAGCGTCAAATTTTTCCGCGCGACTCTGTGAGAAATATGCCCTATTTGAAATTTCATTCATACGTCGATGTTTCCACTGTAAAAAAAACTTCAAATGGTTAGTAAACCTGGAGCCGATGGGACTCCAAATCCGGTTAAGCGTTACCACCTTCACTTTTCTGTTGTAGTTTTCCGTGTGTTAATGGATTTATGTGGCTTCCCTTACAAGCCGACTGTGGTATCCATGATCGGGGGAAAGTAGTTTCACATCTTCAAACAGTATCGTGGTGTGATCTCCTTCACTATGCGCGTGTTCCGCTACTGCCGATTTGTCTATTCGACCTAATCTACAGCCTAATCTTCAGCCTTGTACCCATGGATCTTCTGGTGGTATCTATATCTGTAGAGTGGGGAGGGGGAGTGTACGTCCACAGCACTTAGACCACTTGGGACCCATTGTACACCCTCCCAAGGAGTTGTCCTTCTAGGTCATCGTCCACCATGTCCTTTCCAGGAAGGTGGACCGGTATCTGGGAGACATCTCCTTTATATCGGCAGGTGTAGGCCAAGACTCGCCGAACACACACTCTCTTGTTGACGATAGCTCCGGGCACTCGCATAGGACATGCCTGACAGTTTCATCTTCCTGTTCACACATCCTGCAAAGATGTGTGTCCACTAGCCCCATATTATGGAGGTTTTCCTTAGTCTGATCTTAGCCTAGGTTTTTCCTAGTCATCGCCAGATATTTCTTCAGCGCCAGAAATTTTGCCAGGATCACCCTGGGCGACCCTGGCAAAATTGCATCCTTTGATTCCATCCCATCCCTTTAGGGATTGAAATGGGTGTGACGTTTGGCTAGTTCCGCAATTGTCGAAGTTATCAGGCCGTAGGTGTTGGCCATCAACAGATTTTACAACCATGTCCGTGCATCATACATTTTTCTTTTCACCCGTTCAACCAAGTTTGTGAAATTATTCTGTCACTCAAAAATACGAACTCGGTAGGTATTGACTGCATATCAACAAAACTTGTGAAAAATATGAGAATTTCTGTGAGTCAACCTCTTTCTTTTATAATAAACCGATCAATTGAAATTGGAGAATTTCCTGATAAGATGAAAATTGGTTTAGTTACTCCTCTACACAAAAATAATGAAATTTATATAATTGAAAACTACAGACCAATAACAGTACAAACAGCACTGTGTAAAGTTTTTGAGAAATGTGTTCATTCTAAAATGCTGTCATTTATAGAAAAATTTGATATTATTTCCAAACATCAGCATGGGTTTTGCCCAGGTAGGTCAACTGAAAGTGCTGCATATATTTTTTTCAAGTACGTTTATGATGCACTGGACCAGAGAAAATATGTTGGGGCACTTTTTTTTGATCTATCGAAAGCATTTGATGTCATTGATTTGAATATAATTCTAAGCAAGTTGCATTCCCTTGGCTTCAGGGGTAATTTTCTCCTGTGGTTAAAATCGTATTTAACATTCAGAAGAATACATGTGAAANCCTGAAGCTAGCTTATTATTGAGGGTTACAATGTGATCGGCGAATTTGAGTTTATTGTCAATTATTACCCCCAAAAATTTAGTATTTATTTTATTTATATCTGCACTTATATTCTCGTGTAGATTACATAAAGTTTTATCACGCCACAATATTGTGGTGTCATCAGCAAATCGGGTGAATTTTCCTTTTATATCGATAGATGCTAAATCGTTTATATATAGCAGGAAAAGTATCGGTCCCAGTATTGAACCTTGTGGTACGCCATTTTTTATTTCGCCTTCTGATGAGGATGGTAAGGTTTTCACAATCTGACTTCTTCCTATGAGATAATTTTCGAACCACTTGTGAGTAATTCCACTGATGCCACAGTGATATAATTTTTTCAGCAGTATTCCATTATCTACACAGTCAAAGGCTTCAGAAAAGTCACAGAACACTGCTGCTGATGACTCTTTTTTATTTCAGCCCAAGTAGTAGTTGAATAATGATTAAATGAGACACATTCTTTATTATATTTCTTTGTAGAACAAAATTTTCCAACATTTTGAATCTTGTTTGATAATATTCGAATGGTCTTGGCCATTTTGATTTTTTGATTTTGTAAGTGAATCATCTATATATCCTTCAGCGACATTGGTAGACTACCAGCTACCATGTCTCTTAAAATTTCTTATGTTTACACCATCATCAGCAAGTAACGTGGCTGAATGCTAAAGCCTGTGTAATTTTGACGATTTGAAAATTACACAGGCGTCGAACTACAGCGACTATTTGCTGATAATGGTGAAGACTTCACAAATTGCAATCAACAAAATGAACAAAAAGTGACCCAAATTTTTCGGGTAAAGAGATGATCTATTGAAATTTCTTGTAATGGAAGAGGTGAAGAAGAACTCTAAATATTAAATTGGAAGAATCCGACTTGTTTGTTTCACTTTTGAAATCGACTGATTAGGAAAAAAATAATCTAAACAATGCATATTATTGATAAGATTAACTTACCCAATTCCAATTCTTTGACATCACCAGATATAGGCACAATTTTCGCCAAGTTTTCTGGAAAACTCTTCTTCAAAACATCGAACAGCTGTAAATAATTGAACACAATGATATCATCTTATTCTCAAATCGACAGAACCTACATTCAATTCATTGCTTATTCTATTAGTATATGAGTATTACAAACCTTTTTTTTTATAAAAAAAACAGTAATACCAACAGAGAAAAGTCTATATTCATTATTTTATACAGGTCGTTTTTTCAGTTGACGTCACTATTGCTATTTTGGAAACGGTAAAACCTACAAGGTCGATTGAATTAGAAAATTATCAGCGGTTGTTTTTGAAATGTGCGCCAAAAACTAGAATTGTAGAATTCCCTTTTTCGGCAGAGAAACTTTGAACACTTCTATATCTCTTTCTTT